AGAGAGAGAGAGAGAGAGAGAGAGAGAGAGAGAGAGAGAGAGAGAGAGAGAGAAGCTTCGAGGGAGAGAGAGGAAGGGAGGGAGAGACAGAGACAACGACGACGTGGAGGGCTGCGGACGAGACGGAAGAGGGACGACGACGACCGTGCGACAACGACGCGGCAGGACGGCGCGTTAGCGTACGCACCGTACGTGCGGACGTGTTCCGTACAAACGGCCTGTACGTACAGGGGGTTCCGTCCGTACGCGTCATACGACTAAACGGTGGGCACGCGCTCTTGTGCGGGACTTCGGCGCGAGCTGAGAGAGAGAGAGTGAGGGAGAGAGAGAGAGAGAGAGAGGGAGAGAGAGAGAGAGAGAGAGAGAGAGAGAGAGAGAGGAGGAGGAGGAGGAGGTGAGTTTCCTCTTCTTCCTCTACTTCTACTTCTTCCTCTTCTTCTTGTACTTCTTCTTACTCTTGTTCTTCTTCTTCTTCTTTTTCTTCTTGTTTCGCGTTTGTTTTATTTTTTTCCCCTCCACCGTGCTTTCCTCTTTTTCTTCTTCTAGACTTCTTCTTCTTCTTCTTCTTCTAGACTTCTTCTTGTGTGTGTGTGTGTGTGTGTGTGTGTGTGAGAGAGAGAGAGAGAGAGAGAGAGAGAGAGAGAGAGAGAGAGAGAGAGAGAGAGAGAGATTGGTTTATTCTTCGTTTCTTGTGTGTGTGTGTGTGTGTGTGTGTGTGTGTGTGTGTGTGTGAGAGAGAGAGAGAGAGAGAGAGAGAGTGAGATCCCACCGACGCCAGCGGCGAACGCGACGACGACGGTTCTGGCGACGGCGGCGGCGGCGCGACCATGGGGAGCGGCCAACTCTCCGGGAGGGCACGAGGCGCAGCGGCGGCGGATGCCACGCACACACGCCCATACGTACACGTACGTACGGCCCGTACGAGCGTACGCACGCAGCATCCCGTACGTACGGCCCGTACGCCTAAGCGGGCCGGTGGTCGGGCCGTGCTCGCTGACAGGGTTTTCAAGTGTCGGGCCCGTTTGGGGGGGTGGTGGGGGGGGGGGGAAGGAGGACAGGCCTGGGCAGGACGGGCTTTGGCGCTGTCCACTGAGCTCCGCTCCAGCATCTGTGGGCGGTGGGCTACCTGCAAGGCTACAATGGCGCCCAAGAAAGGGAGGGGAGATCAGCCATTCGTTCCGGTCAGTAAAGACAAGCAGAGGGAGGCGGAGCTGAAGTTTTGCGGCTTTAAATGGGTTACGAAGGGGCAGACGATGCCGAATTCGAATGGCAATTTCCTCATGGAGTGCAAGCTGTGTGGTCAGGGTTTTTAGGGGAGCAAGACGAAAGCCGCACAACACTTCACGATCAAGAACAATTGCGCCAAAATCTCCGTGGAGCAGATGGTGGAGATATGGAACAAGACAAAGTACGGGTTCGATCCAAGCCATGCACGGAAGATCGTGGACTTTCTGAAGTCTCGTGGGTTGCGAGACAACAGATGTGGATCAGGGAGGGAGCCAGCGGGGAATGAGGAGTTTGAGGACAGCGAGGAGGAGAGGAAGGCGGTCGAGGGTGGAGATGATGATGGTGAGAGTGATGGAGAGGACATGGAGGTGTGGCGAGAGGTGGAGCGCGCCAGGGGAAAGCTGAGGAAGGAGAAGGCCGTTGACGAGGACAGCACCCCTGACGAGGATGCCGCCGTCCACGATGACGATAAGGGAGCAGACCTTGGGGCCTCTCTCGATGGGGGGTTGATGGGCGATGGCCGTCGTGGCCAAGAGGGGGCAGCTAGGGCGATGAAGGAGGTTGCGGGATCGAAGAAGAGAAAAAGGAAGGCGAAGATGACTACCACTGAGGCGAGATCAGCACCTTCTCAGCCCAAAGAGAGCAGAGTTCTTCGACAGACATCCATGCTGGAGACCTTCAATCCAGTGTGGCAATGAGAATTCTCGGACTCCGTCCTGCAGTGGTGGTACGTGAGCGGCATCCCATTCGAGGCGGCGAGGAGGCCAGAGTATCATAGGATAAGGAAGAAGTTGCTCGAGTGTCCGCCGTATGCACATCCGGCATTACCCACGCACCGTGTCATTTCGTGCGAAGGCATCCCTCAGCAGCAGCGAGTTGTGGCGGACATGGTGGCGGCCATCCGCAGGGACATTGAGGCGACGGGAGCAACCATCCGTGAGGATGGTGGCAAGTCCATCACGAGCGACCAGATAGTCAACTTCCTTGCTGCTGGTCCCACGGGCGCGTACCTTTTCAGGACTGTGCAGCGGGATGGTGCTGTTCAGGAGACAGCAGAGGCCATAGTGGAGCAATGGAAGGACGTGTTCGACAAGTTTGGTGTCGAAAAGGTGAACGCCATTTGTACTGATTTCGCGTCTGCGTATGTTGCTGCATCCAAGCTCCTCGCCCAGGAGGAAGTCAAGTACAGCCGCATCACTTGGCTTCCGTGTGCAGTCCATATCTGCAACTTGTTGCTGTCAGACATCGCGAAGGATGGGCGCGACGGGAGCCTCGGGAAGAGGGAGGAAACCATCATTAGGGCTCGAGCTGTCGTGTGTTTCATCAGAGAGCATGGGGCGGCTATGAGCCTTTATCGACGGTTCTCTGCCGCCCACCCCTCTTCCGCCTCCGCGGCGGCTGGTGGTTCGAGCTCTACGCCACCCTCGTCTCAGCGGCGAGGCAGGGAGCTTGTGTACCCTGTGCAGACGAGGTTTGCCACCCACTACTTGATGTTGGAGAGGCTGTTGGATCGTCGCAGAGCGTTGGAGGCGTTGATGATGAGCGACGATTGGCTGCGGACTGCATGGAGGAGGTCCATTTTTCTGCAGGCCAGATGGGTGCGTCATCAGGTGCAGTACGCGCCATTCTGGGAGCACGTGGAGGACATCGTGGGGCTAATGACGCCTGTGATGCAGTTGCTACGGCGTCTGGACAGGGGGGGTCACGTGATGACTCGCATGTGGTCGTGGGGTTTTGTCATGGTCGACAGGGTGGCGAGAGCAAGCCTCAACAGGACGTCGAAGGACGAGCTCCACATCGTTGTTCAGGCTTGTCAGGCGAGGGTCGCTCATATGTTGGAGCCCGCACATTGCATGGCCCACCTCCTCAATCCGCGGCAGAGGAGCATTACGTTTTGTGGAGCGGCGAGGCGTATCGACCACAAGCGGATACTGGCAAACGAGTCGTTGCGATACCTTCGCCAGTAGACTGGTGGTGACGAGGATTTGTATCAGACGTTGCGCACGCAGCTGGCGGAGTTTCATTCTCGGGAGGGCGATTGGACGTATGGAGGGGCCGAGGGAGACAGGGATGCGGCCGCCTGCAAAGGGGAGAAGGAGACGTCACAGGTGGGGCAGTGGTGGGTTCAGCACAGGGACGGGGTCCCTCTCCTTCAAAGCATCGCCATTCGCTTGTCGCACACATGGACGTGCGCCTCTCCGGCGGAGAGGAATTGGGCCGTCCATGAGCGTCTTCAGGTGAAGAGGCGTAATCAGCTTGGTTTCATCAAGCTGACTCGTTTGGTGGAGATATCCACCAACTTGAGATTGAGTCGTTGTCAGGGGAGGGGTTCTGGGTACATTCTTCCATGGGAGGACGCTGAGTAGAAGACAAAGGACGCTATTCCTCCGCCTCGTGATGAGGGTGTTCGGTCGGCTGACCGAGTCACCGAGGCACAACGCAACCGACAGGTCCAGCGTGGGCGGAAGGATCGCCTTTCAAAGGCACCTCCCAGCGTCGCGACGTATTTCGGTCGTCTCGATACGGTGCTCATGGCGCATGAGTTGGAGTCGGTGTACGATCCCGAGCCTGATCCTATGGCTTAGGACACGATGGAAGCCGAGCCGTGGTCCGATCCGAACGACCTGGCCATGGAGTCAGAGCCAGGAGGTTCTGATGACGATGACGACGACACTCCTCTCATCCAGATTCCGCGTCCTCGCACACATGCGTCCACGGCGGCCGCTGCACCGTCTCCCGCAGCACGCCCTCCTTCAAGTGCTCCCGACGTCTCACAGCCAGGCCCGATGGACAGTGTCGAGAGCAGTACGCCACACCCTTCGACCGATCGTCGCGGACAGGGAGGGACTCGCGAGCGTGTCGACGAGGGAGACGACGGCGATGGCGACGATACGGAGGGATATGAGGGCAGCAGTGAGGATGAGGATGATCCCTGTTATTCCCCGACACGCAGACATGGTGACGACGATGACGAGGGCGGCGACGGTGGACGGGCTGTGGGTGGTTTGCGGAAGTCCGAGAGACAGCGTGGCGACCGATGCAGTGGTGAAGGCAGGGGAGGCAGCGGGCCGGGTGTTGGGGGTGCAGGGCGCATAGGTGGTGCAGGGCATGCTGGCACAGGAAAAGTAAGGCGAGAGTCTGCATCGTCCACTCGCACTGTGCATTAGGTTGATGAGGAGAGGCCCGCTGAGGCAGCTGTGGTTGCTCCCTCCCCTGCAGAGTTCGTTGCGGCGTCTGCAGAGGGCGCAGCGGCATCTGCGGAGGGTCCAAGCGGGTTTGCGGGTGGTAGTGGCGATGCTGGAGAGGTTGGGAGGCCATCTGCACAGGTGGGTGTTAGTTTCAGCGACAACATTTTTGATGTTTCGTTAGGGCATCCTCCGACACCGGCAGGGGAGCGTGTCGGTGTCGGTGTGGACGCAGCGGCCACGCCCGTCAGTCAGATACTTTGTGACATACCTTCATGCAGCACGGGCCACATCCGTAGAAGCATGTTGCAGGAGGCAGCAGAGGGGGCACCGGGTCGGTCGGGGCAGCACGAGCGTGCAGCTGGGGATGATAGGGAGTGTCGACCTATGCAGGAGCGGGCGACAGAGTCAAAGCAGGACAGGATTGACCGCGAGGAGAGAAGGAGGGCGCAGGGGTTGGCTAGTCACTGCGAGATGACGCAGAGTGTTGCATTGAGGGCACGTGCAGCACGGATGCTCGAGAAGGTGTCGAACTTTTTCCAGCCGAGCCTCCTCGGGCGACCGTAATGCCAACAGGCTGTCACGCAGGATTTTGTATGTGTGATTGCAATAAATAAAATAAATTTAATAATGCAAATCCCTTCCTGTTGTGTGCGTCCGGCTTCGAGCGAGACCCTTCAATTGCGGTCTTTGTCGGTCCCCGGTCTTAGGAATCTTTTATTTTGATTCGGAACAGCGGAGAATTATGCAAACAATAATCATAAAATTATGGGGTGTTATGCATGCATCGATTATGTCAATCTGATTTTGAGAACTGTGACAAAACGTCCACAATGGCAATCATCAAGCAAGAATAATGCAGAAAATAAGATTGACTGACTCGAGTAAAGATAGGGGCAATTGAATGAGGGAAGAATGGGAACTCATAATAATCTCAGAAAGTACATGTAAGCGGGCATGGTCAGCACCCCTCAAGAGCCCTCACTCATCCCTCTGGTCAGTTTCTCTCAATCTCTTTTTACTGCTCTTCTCTGGTGTCGAGACCCACGCCCACGTACAATCTGAGACTAAGGCTTTGTGACAAAATGCCACCTGTAGCCAGCAAGCTCTGAACATGACCATCCGAGACAAATAACATGGTAGTTAACCATAACGCAAAACTCCTCCCACAAGGTAGGCAGCCCGTCCACTGAAAAGACCCCTCGTCTGAGGTAAGGATACTAAGTGGGTTCAGTCAACGCCTCAATGTCGATCACCGTTGGAGAGATGTACCTCTTTGCCAATCCGATCACATTCAGCCAACTCGTGCCATCTATGAGAAGAGAAGGGGACTGGAGGCCTTGGATAGTCTGTATAAAGCATTGGCCTGAAGCTGTGGATCAGCGTAGTGCCACTCTAATCGAGCTCCCTCTCTCTCCACTCAAGGTATTCAGTGGTTGAGATCCAGACTGGATCAAAGTGCTCATGAGTCTCCTTGCCCTTCTTCAGGTAAGGTCTCAGATCGTGGATAGTGCCATCAGCAAAACTGGTCTGGACAATGAAGATTGACAGATCTCCCTGTCTGAAACCAATGGCACTAACATACTGATAATGGAATGCCTCTTTGCGTGAAATCCGGTTGAGGTTGGCCAGCACTGACTCACTGACCGAGACAGACTGAACTGTGCTCATGAGTACTCTTGCCCATACAAACTGACCAGATGGTCCCTGAGAACTGGCTGCCAAGCTGACCGGAGGGAACAGATTGCCGTAGAACTGACTGCAAGAAACTGATTGCTAATAACTGATTGCTGATTAAATGATCGCTGATGACTAATTACTGAGCTGCTGGAAGCTTTTTGCTGATAACTAGCTGTTGTTTTCTGAGTGCTGCATCTTCATGCTGATTAGGAGACTGAACGGTTGCTGACCCGACTGTTGATCTGATGATTGCTATTCTGATGAGAATGTTGTTGAGACTGCCAACCAGATGCTTGAATAAATGTTGGTTAGTTGTTGGCTAACTGCAGGTCAAGGACTGAAAAGGTTGCTTGTTAATTACTACTTGACTGAGAAAACAGGGTACCGTTGAGATTATTGACCTGATGACTGGATACTGCCGAGATTACTGACTCTGCACGAAGCTCACTAAATTTGCCTCAAGTTCACTGGGTCTATTCTGAGCTAATGGATCTTGTATGGAATTCACCGATTTTGATTCTGAGCACTGATTACTGTTCTGCGAGCAGATTACCGCTCTGGGCGTTGAAAACTGCACCAAGTACTAGAAAACTGCTCCGAGTATTGTTTCAGAGAGTCGTGCCATTGGAGTAACTAGGCTCACGAGAGCCTTGCCCTGGCCTGTTCTACTATCTCAAGTGCGGAACTGGTACTGTGCAACTTGCCGTTTACTCCATAGAAATAAATTATGTATTCGATATACTTCTCACCCTTCACCCTCTGAACCGCGTGCTCACGCTGAAGTTCCCTGTTAAATTTCATATCTCGGCAAGCTCCTTCCTCCCACCCCTCTCTCTTTTCTCTGATTAGCATGCTCTTTACTACTAGGATCTCATCGTCCTTCATGTCTCCCTTCTTTTACATTCGGATCATACAACAGTGTTCACCAAGAGCCACCCTCGAGCACGAGGTAGTTTGAATACCAACTGTACGGTGTTTGACAGTTGTCCGGTTACTGTTTGCTCACTGTTTAAACTGTTGTCGACTGCACATCTGAATACTACTGACTGCTGATTATTAGCCGATCACTAGTTATCTTGGTTATTTCTGGATTGCCGATCTCGCCGTGTTTTTGACTAGACCCAGTTTCGGGAATGACTCGATTTTTCTTACTCCGCTTTAGTTGGGTGCGATCTCACCTCATTGACACGCATAGACCGTTCTTCTTGTCTCCTTAACTGAACTCACTAATGAGATGATGATCCACAGTCCTGCGTTTTCTGTCGTGCAGGTAATAAGTGTACTGAAATTTTATGTGGTGTCCCACTAAAGAGTGCATTACTCCTCTCTTATAGTTGTTTGGGGATCGCCTTCACACAGTCATTATCACCCATCCTCCCACTGAGTCTTTCTACTCAGATCTAGGATCAAATGTTCTCAGGAAGTCATGACATGATATGTTACGGCTTCAAGTTCCTACCTGAGAACAACTCACAGAAGAGGCAACTGACTGCTTCATACGGAGTTGATAATTGGCCAAATAGCAACTGACCCTCGGAGTTTAACCCCCGACAAAAATACTCAAATCAATATTGTCAAGATGTGCAGTTTTCG